CAGGACTCCAGGTGAGGTCTCAGCAGGGCAGAGCAGAGCAGCAGAATCACCTCTCTCCATCTGCTGGCCACGCTTCTTTTGATACAGCCTAGGATTCGATTGGCCTTCTGGGCTGCTGCTGCACATTGGTGGCTCACGTCCAGCTTCTCCTTTACTAGTACCCCCAAGTCTATTTCCAAAGGACTGCTCTATAGCCTGTCCTCTCCCAGCTTATATTGATAATGCTGGTTGCCCCAGCCCAGGTGCAGGACCCTGCACTTGGCCTTGTTGAACCTCATGAGATTCCCCTGAGCCCACCTCTCCAGCCTGTCCAAGGGCCTCTGGATGGCCTCCTGTCCCTCTGGCATGTCAGCTGCACCACCCAGCTTAGTACCCTCGGCAAACTTGCTGAGGGTGCACTCAATGCCCTGTCTATGTCATCGATGAAGATATTAAACACCGGTCCCATACGGACCCTTGAGGGACACCACTTGGCACTTTTGCCCAGCTAGACATAGAGCCATTGACCACAACTCTCTGGGTGCAACCATCCAGCCAATTTCTTATGCACTGAACAGCCCACCCATCAAACCTCTCTCTCTCCAGCTTTGAAAGGAGGATGTTAGAGGGAAAATGTCAAAGGCCTTGGCAAAGTCAAGAGAGATGACATCCTTAGCGCTTCCCTTGTCCACTGATGCAGTTACTTCACTGTAGAAAGCCACTAGATTGGTCAGGCAGGACTGGCCTCTGGTAAAGCTGTGCTGAATCTCTTGAATCACCTCCCTGTCCTCCATGTGCCTTAGCATTTCTTCTAGGAGGATCTGTTCCATGATGTTCCCAGACACAGAGGTGAGGCCGACAGGTTGGTAGTTCCCAGGATCTTCCTTTCTACCCTTTTTAAAAACGGGTGTGATGTTTCCTTTTTTCCAGTCACTAGGGACCTCACCTGACCTCCATCAAGATTATGAAGCGAATTCCCATTGGAAAAGTTTATAGTGTGATCTAGTTCACCCTTGAGACTCAGAAAGCAAATTATGTAAATAAAATGCTGAACCTTTGAAGCGGGTCTGAAACTCACTCCTCTTGAACCAATCTCCACGTCTTGCACCCAAAGCAAGGCAGCTAAATATTCGAGTTTTGTAATCAGCATGAGAGAGCTTGAAGGTTCATGAGATGTGAATCTGATATCAATGATATGAATGCTTCAATTTATTTAAGCTCACCAGTATCTTGAATTTTCAGACTTGGGACTGCAAACAGATCTGAGGGTAATAACATCCCCATTCTCTTGTAAGGTAACAGGAAAGGATTCCTGTTGTTTTCTTTTGCAGCCAAGTGTATTAGGTGAAGAGATTGAGGAATACTGGATTAGAAACAAAAATGAATACATGCCTAAAAGTAAATTCACCAAAGCTATTGTTCTCTCTCTATCTGCATTATGTTACTTAATCCTAATCCTTAACTTCACAAATATTTATCAGTGGGTAACTTAATGCCAGAAGATTCTTGATGTGCAAAAGTAATTTATATATATAAATACTGTATTAGCAGAGCCTTTGGCAACAGACTGCAAAGCAAAGACCATTTCTTCCTTTGAAAGCATATAGCATCTGGAACAGGGACCTAAACCTGCTGTTCTTACTGCAGTATAAATATTACCAAATATTCGCACTAGTCATTTCCCAACAGTCTCCAACAGAAATTAAATTATAGCATTAACTGAACAAAGATGTTGCCATAAGAATAAGACAATTGAATGAAGCTACTGTGCAGTAACAATCACAAGATTATGTATTTCCAACATCACTGACTAATTTTCTTAGAGAAAACTACATTGGATAAAAAAAAAAAACCAAACTCCATAAAATCAGACTGTGCATCAGAAAACCTGACAAAACATACAGACCTCGTATATCTTTCCTCAGGAAGCTACAGTTAGCACCCATGTTTCTTTCCCACTAGTTTCTCTGTTATCAGCAAGATTCTCCTCCACTACAGCAGTGTCACACATGAAACAGACCTGATCCAGATTTCTAGCCCTAACAACTAAAGTACAGCTCAGACTGCTGTGTAGGCTTGGGGTATGTATTATCCTACCACTGTTTTCAGAGCCATTACCCAGGTTTCTCTGGTTTTGCTTCATTTGAGGAAGTCCATCTGTCCTGAGCCCATTGCTGACCATCACTGGCTCTTGCCTCGAAAAAATGCAGGGGCTTCATCCTTACTACAGAGTGTCTTCACATGGGCTCTCATAGAGATCTCATGTGCATCGAGAGACAAAACCACCATCTGCCACAGGAGCTGGGCTGGGGCCAGGAAAGGGCCACCTTAGTTTCAATCTCCTCTTGCTCTTCCTATGTGCTTTACCATAAAGAGAACGACTAGTAGGCAGCCCAACACCCTCATGCAGCAAGCTGATGTCTCCTGCTTGCTAACACCCTCACATTCACAATACTGACTTGTGGGAGTCACTCCACCTTTTTCTAGCAAAGAATCTGCTCCATCTGAAAGCCAGCACCACTGCTGACAGCAGCACTATGCTTACATACAGCAGCTCCAGGTTAGTTCAAGTACCATGCAGCTTAAACCCTTTTCACACTATTTTCCAACTGTTCTTTCAGTTTGATACACCCCCAAGTCTGCTATTGTAAAAAAATAGGATGTCAAGCCCTCTGTAAGACAGCAGCCCTGTTTAATTCCACAAACCAGCCTCACTATGCTTTAAAACTCACCACGCTTTAAAACTCACCACATTTGCCAGCTTATGCAACCCTGGAACTGAAATGCCCTCTAGAAAGACCATTGTGCAGACACGTAACCCAGATAGGGTCCCTTTGGCAACATGGAAAGTCTTGGAAAACATCTGATCATGAAGAATTTCAAGTACTGAGTAAACCAGATATTTCTGATAAATTCCATCAGAGGGGATTCTAGGTCTAAAATTCAATTGAAGCTAAAAGAAAAGTAGTGCATGAAAAATAACACAGAGGTGTACTGCACTCTGAGTTACGTTCCTGTAAGGAGGATTATCTGAGAATATATATGTTGTTTGGCATATTTGTTATATTGCGGGGTTCCTCTGCGGAGTCATATATTTCAGTCCAATTAATTAGAGCAGGATTGAGTGCCATCTTTCACCATACTTACAGACTGAAAGTCAAAGGTGCCCAGTATTAACACCCTTCCACACAGACCCTCTATGCAAAAGAGATGGAGGAAACATTCTTATTAGTGCACTGGTACATACTGGGCGTATGGGCTCCTGTATGACTACACGTGTGGATTATAGTGGAGACAGCACAGAATGGGAGGAGCATCATCTGTTGCACTCCTTCCCCTCAGCTGAACAGGTCTCTCTTCAGGGCAGGTCCATTAGGCAGGAGTTTGGCAGCACTGAGATGGTGAAATGGCACAGCTGAGAGCCAAAGCACAGCTGCTGAGAGGTCCCTGTCCCAAGGAGTTTCCCCAAGATCTTTTAAAATGTCTCGCTTCGTTGCATTCCGCATTCAGGCTCAAGAAGAATGGAGGAAAATAATTTTTCTTCCATCAAGTGGACCCTCCCTATCACTCATTAATTTTCTATTAACAACTCCTCTTTCCAAGTTTCATTTCCAGATATTTGAAGAAAACAATACCAGACAGAACCACAAAAAGGATAAAAGGATATCCTTCAGCTTGACTGTTCTCATGGTGTTTTCTGAAAAATTATGACTGACTTTCACAAGCTAAATGGCTTTTAATGCAATAACCTCCAGGACACATTTATTTGTTAGGATTCTGTGAGCAACAGTGTTACATGGAGGCCATGCTATCCTGTGTCTTGCTAAATGGCATTGTGATGGCAACCTTTACAATCAGGTGCCTAGAGCCTGTTTTTAGGTACTCCTTTCAGTTATAATCACAATAAATACACCAACAGACATTATAAATACTTCTCATCTTCCACTGTTGTGCAAAGCCATAGCATGGCACAGTGCTTTAGTAAGGAAGATCTAGGTAGGTGGAAATGGCTGGTGGAATTTAGGTCAGAGAAGTTAATTACCTGATCTGGAATTTGGCCAGAACACTAGGGTTAACAGCTGCACTCTTACAAAAGCAGTGTGTGGTCTTCCACAACCTCAGGTAGCCAGGATGGCTCTTTCACATTTCAGACAGCTCTTTCAAGTACCTCGCCCTTTGGGGGCATAGCAAGGTGAAGCTCTCTAGTGACTTAGACCACAAATTTAAACCTCAGCCAACACCTTAGAGGGCTCAGCCCCAGTGCAGCTGTAACCTGACTTTGCACAGCATGGAAAGGGGCACCTGTGGCAGCTGGTTTATTGAGGACAAGTTTTTGTGCAGAGAGGGCTCCTCTCTGTGTTTTCAATTGTAGCAGGAGGTATGCACATGTTTATTCTAACCCAGTGCAACAATCAAATCGTCAATACATTCTGTCCTCATTTCTGTGCTGAAAGCAGAGCAGTTTCCAGAAAAAATACCTTATGCCTGGAAAGAATAAGAAAGTGAGCAAAGCACTTATAAATGTATAATGATGCCTTTTTTAAAAGAAAAACAAAACAAAACAAAAAACCACTAAGGTAAATTGAGTTGCATTCAAAAAGACTGACCAATTACCTACTGAAAAAGCCAAAATCCCACTGTGGTCACAACTGACAGCTGGATTAGTGTCTCTTTTTCAAAGTTCTGAAAAGTTCTTTAGTAGAGTGTGGGGTAAGAAGCATAAATTATTAAGGTACCACCTACAGCTCTCATTAATTCCCAGTCAAATAAATGTCAAAAACTTAAAAAATACTGCTCTCTGAAATGTAAACAAAATCCATAGGGCTGTACTGCTCTTAAGGAGATAATCATATATCAGCATCTGGGTGGACAAAGCAACACTCCACTTCCCAGAAAGACAGCTGTTGCCACAGCCCAGCCTGATGTTCCTTACTTCACCTCTCACAGGTCCACAGTGCTCTCTGAAGCAGAGGTGGCCTCATGTGCACAGACCTGCTGTTCACTGCGTGCCCTCAACTCACCATGGAATTCATGGCAAAGTGATTGTGCTGCGTCTGGAGGTCAAGGGCATGTTGGTAGCTCACGCCGATCTCTGTGTGACTCTGCAGGAACAATTCCTTGTTGTGGCTGATCCAGTCGAACATCTAGAAGCAGTCACATGAGACAGAGGGGAAAGAAAAGTGTTAGGGATGAAAGAAATAAGAGACAGTCCAAAATATAAAAATCCAGTTTTGAGACAGATGTATATGCAACACAGACAAAAAAACCAAAACGCTCATCTCTTTTTCTCATCAAAATAAGCTGTTGTTGAGCAATGGAAGTATTTAAGTTATCATCGTATTTCATTATTAACACAATGATAAGTGAGGAAACACAGTTCATAAAGCATGTTCCTCAGTAAACTGATCCCACCATCTTTTCCTGAAAGTAATAGGAATTTCATATACAGAAAGATGGCAACAGAGGGACCTAAAATCAGGGGTTGCTTCACTGACCAAAGATCTAACAGTTCATAAAGTACCCATAATCCAGAAATGGTAAAAAAATTCCATAAATATTATTGATGAGATTTTCTCACTCTCTTTCTTTTTCATCTATAAATAAAGTTTGTGAATGTTACTTTCAAATAGCTAGTTCACTTATATTTCCTACATCTGTCCAATTCCAAAGTCAGAATTCAGTCTATCTTCCACTTATTATTTTTGGGATGAAGAAAGAAAAAGAAAAAAAGTATTTTATTAATATCTATAAAGAGTTCACATTTCAACTCCTCCTGCTTCCAAATTACTTCCAAGCAAAACGGATAGCTCTGTACTTCAGACACAGATAGAAATATATTGAGTAAAGCTGATTAAACTCATTCTTTATATGTAGCACATTAATGTGGCATTTCAATCTGCGGCACCTTCATTCATTATAAGCTGTCACAAGTCAGCTAGGAGACAGTGTGTTTCTGTTCTTGCTTGTTTTGTGTTGTGTTAGAGACTAAATGCATCCAAAGTGAGACCCTTTCATTCCTTACTCCTGGCTAGAGCTCTGCAGGCTTTGCAACCTCAGATTTCTTCTGAGTGTTTCTGTTACAGAACCCTTTCAAACTATGTTCCTTCATCTCCATGCCAGCAAGCTGGGTAACTGTCCGTTAATAAGGACTCTTTCATAATTAAAAAAACCCCGATTTATTAATTCATTATAAGGAATGAAAAACTAATTATAGAGAGAGGTCATATATATAACAGGTCAATACAATCCCTGATGTTACAGAAAGTGTTTTAGGATGAAAAGGCAAGGGATGCAGCTCCTAAGCAACCACCTTAAAGTCAGAGGTTCAGTCCAGATCTTTGTTATAATATTTACATGTCCTCCAGTCAAGAGTTGTTTTAGCCTTCAGCACTGAATAACACATTTTTGACCTGTGACAGCTGAAGACCATTCAAAGCCCACTGGTTGGGCAATGTAGGGTGCTGCAGGCTCTCAGGGTCAGTTACTGGTTCCCTGTAAAGATGGTGCTTCTACGAGTACAGAAAAAGCCCTGAATGGGTCACCTAAGATTCCAGCAATGAACTCAGCATTTCATGCCATGCACTTGATTCAGCATGGCAGTGCACCGCTTTATGCAGGGGATTTGCAGAATAATATTGAGCATCCCTTTCCTCAAAGGGCAAATAAACTTTGCAAGTGCTCCAGTGCCACCAGACACTTTATACTGACCTGGTCCCAAAATGTCATGTATGCCTGACTTCTTAATCTTTTATTTATGAAAATATACTTGCATCTACAGTCTATACTTGCTTGAATTTTGTGTTGATGAATAGTCTTAGAGGCCAAATTTGGTTCAAGTTACAATGATGCAAGTCCAAAGTAATATCATTGACATAGTTACTTTCTCATTTGTACCCACGGACGTGATCACAATCAGGCCAATCACTTTTTTTTTTTTTTTTTTTTTTTTTTTTCCAGAAAGTATAAATAACAAGGTTTTTGCAAGGCTGAGGTCAGGGGTTTCAAACATTACTGCCAATTAAACAGAATGAAACAACCTACTCTAAACTGAAGACACCCCTAATGCTTTCTCATTGGATTCCTTTTTCTCATTTTATTAAGATTTAATAAGCAACAAAATCATTTGCCACACTTGTGGGCTTAAAGAACAAAAAAGCTATAAAGCAAATAAAGAAAAAAAATCCATAAGAGCAAAGTTCATGTTCCAACAACACGATTTTACATCCCTGCTGAGAAACCGACACAGATTTCTTTAAGGAGATCTATGTTTGATGTGAACATTTTCTAATGCTTTAAACAACTTAAAGACATTCAAGGAGAATAAAACTGGCAACAACCCACTAAAAATAAACAGCAAATCTAATATTTTATGCTCAGCAAAGCTGAATCAGGATCTTTTTAAGACAAGGAATTTAAACCCGTAATCTATCATTCTGTGGATAGGGAGTATTTCATCCATCCATCTATACACATATTATTGGATGAGACTCTAGGTTAAGTTAAACCACCCTTCTGCCTTTTAAAATACAATAATAAGCTACCAAGAAAAAAAAATAAATTTAAGATATTATTAATCTTTTTGTCTTGATTAATCAACAATCACAGCTGAAAGGATGACCTCTAAGAATGTTAAGCAACACTGAACAATAGCCATCAATGGTGAGATCTGTACCACCTTCCAAAACAGCATGGTTTTTAAACTTCTATTCATGGACAATAGCAGATTTTGGAAGAGACTCAATTTCAGTTTAGAGTTTGAATCTTTCTATTATCCTTTACATAAAAAAATTACTTTGGTTTCAGCTGGCCTACGCCTGTAGCAAATTATCCCACATCAATATGGTCTGGAGTGTCTCCCCGATTCTCTCAAGTCTCGCTTGAAAGCCCAGAGAATTAAGAGTTTTGAGTTTCATGTGGCTTGGAGCAGGGACAAAATAAAGGAAAATGCCTAGGAATGAGTGCAGAGTAAAAAGATGCAGATTCTGTATGATCTGATGTAGGGTTAATGATGCACTTTGCTCTGTAAAAACCTTTGTTGCTCTTGAGTCTTAATGGGTCATAAGTGTTTACAACCACTCTTGCTTTATACAGGAACCAGGGCTTTGCAAGTCTGAAGTCATGTCTGCTTTATGCAATGCATTACTGTATCTAGATACCCAAACAAGTTCCAGAAGGATGGGTACATCTGCATGGCAGAGTCCAGTGCTGTGGGGAAGTACTGACTTAACCCTGAAAACCACACAGCCTGGTCACAGCACTGCTTGGGTTTGTCTACACCGCTTTTGTTCCAGGGCTGGTTCCTTCAGAGATTTCTTAAGCATTTCTGCTTAATGTTTATTTAACTGTAGATGTTTTCCCAAGTACCCAGAAAACAGTACTGGGTTGTCTTTGTTGCAGAGGTCTGCCATCATAGAAAACTTCGTACCTTCACCTTCCTAATCAAAGAGGCAAGGAAATAAGTATTACGCTGTCCCACAGATAATGAGATAAGCTTAACAATCATGGGGTTTAAATAAATACATACATAATAAAAAATACATACATAAAAATGAGGGTCTTACTTGCTTTTGAGATCTAATGGGTTGTGTTTTCAAACTTTTCTCTTTGACCACAAAGTCTAAAACAGACTTAAACAATTTTCTCATAATAATATGACTGGAAGTTGAGGCTCTGAAGACACCAGATGTTGGGTGACTTGTGGTGAAGCTGTGAAAGTTTGCAATGCGTGGCCAGGAGGTTTCAACGAGAACATCTGTCAACATTGTCTGGCCTGACCCACGTTACTAGCAATATTTCCTGAAAGCTTTCAAGTTAAACTTGTTTTCCACATGAGAAATACCGATGCTTCCTGTGTTCCTGAAGTGAGCATGCTGCTTAGTTTGCTTAATTAAAGAACACCATTAAGGATGTCAGCATGGCAATGACCCAGCAACTGCTACTTTACTCAACCCTGCAAGGACTGCTCCAGTTTCAAGGGATTAACCTGGGCTCATGGAAAAATGTTCAACATCCTTTGATAAGTTAGTTTCCCTGTCAAAGGAACAAGGCTTTAACACAGTAAAAGACAGGGTCTGGAGAATGTGCCCTGTGAGATGAGCTTAAACCAAACACAGTACCTCGGCTAACTGAGATTTTCTGTGTCATCAGAACATTGCTATACAGCATTGTACCAATTGATCTCATCCCATCCATGTAAAAGACTGCCCTAACAAACCTAGCCTAGTGCTTATCATAAAATTAACAGAGTCTAATTATTCCTTTGACTGACTTCTTAGCTGGAATCATGCTGACTGCCAGCGAGTTAATTCTTCTCTGAAGTCTGCTATTCCCACAGCCATGAATTCACACTGAACAGGAGCGCAGAGTAACTAGGCTTGGACACTGTATCACTTAAAACACCTGAACCAGCTGTCCTCAATGTCTCCCAGACTGGCACTTCTCCACATTGCTGAAGATAATCTAGAGACCAGTTAAGTGGTTAAGAGTTTTCCAGTGACTGAGTAGCTGGGAGGAGGGGTTAAGTATACTTAAAAGAAGACAAACTTCCAATGTGATGATCTCCTGTAGTCCCTGTTTCTGACAATACATAAAGGAAAGTGAATGCATATGCTGAAGAATGTTGAGTGCTACATTTAATTAAGAAAGTTAGTCTCTAATGAGAGAGACAGAAGAACTAAGAATTGTCCAAAGGGTCTTTGTCCAACACTTTGCAAAGACATGTACCTTAACTCATTGTGTACATGCACATTATCCACAAATTATTACACACGTTGTCTTGAGTTCACTTCACTTGAGAGTAAGGGTATCAGATCCTATCCCCAACATCAATCATGCTGGCAACAATGAGTTCTTCACCTCACATTTTGTCACTATAGTTGATGAGTTACTGGAAAACCCAGGTTACATGTTAGAGCAAACAGCACATCTCAAGCTGCTCATGAGTAAGTCCTATGGAGGGAGAATATGACTCCATACTTTCCCTGGATTTGTAACATCTGGCAGGCCTGTAAGTACAGGGTGAGAACAGCTGTATGAGAACTGAGAACCACCACACAGATGTGGAATGGCACGTATGCAGACTGTGCACAGTCCAGCCCTACCTCAGGTAAAATAAGATTTATAACACCATTTCAAATACTAACCT